GGTAGCCGAATGCTTGAAGGCGTGCACTTCAGATCAAACCAATCTGGTTAAAACACAGATCCTATTTCGTTTCGTTTTTATAGTTTAAAATTTCGTTTTACTTGTCTTTACTACACTTGGATCTGGAAGACGTGTTATTAAACTCGTGTTCTGCTTGAAATGAGGGGTCAGCCAATCAAATGGTCTGTCGAATCGAGTGTTTGACCTTTTTTGCCCGGAACTGTGGGTAATCCACTAGTAACATTAATGCTGATTGGTTAATCAAATGTCTGACGTCATAGGTCCAAAGTCGGTCTTTTGACCCCTGACGTGAACTATCGCTATAACTTGTCAGATCTTCATGTAGTGTACGCCAGCAGCCTTGAGACAATATCTCTGCTCGTTTAGTTATATACACTCGACAAAAGACGCCATTTTGGGACTTTTTTGTAAAAGCGGCACGTTTTCCTGTTAAAGTAATCCGGTATTCGCATCGCAAATGTATGGGCGTAGGTACATATCAATTACTATCATACAGCCGAAGTTAGATGTAGGGTACCGGAATCTGCCGAGATTTGCCGAGTGCGTCTGCAACGTGGCGTAGTGGAAAGTTTGGCCGGACAGTGGCATCTCTGCGCCTAATGTGAGTTCCGTCGATTTCCACCCACCAAAGGTTCGTTTCCATGTATGCCAATGTGTATTTAATCCCACCCTATCCATGTAATAATAATAATAATAATAATAATTGAGATATCGTATCCCCCCCACTCTGATTAAAATACAGATCTATATTTCGTTTCGATTTTTTTTATACTTTCGATGACCTACACTACACTGAAGATCTGACCAGTTGTACTCGAAGGTTGTGTCAAGGGTCGTACGAGCGGCTTTTGACCCTATGACGTCACACATTGATTAATCAATCAGCGTTGACGCTTCTAGTGGTTTAACCACAGTTCCGTGCACCTCAAGCCAAGCACTTGCGGTGACAGACCGTTTCATTGGTTAACCCCTCATTTAAAAAAAAAAAACGCCGGCAATATAACAACTCTTCCAGATCCTAGTGTAGTAAAGACAAGTAAAACGAAATTTTGAACTATACTCTTCCAAAAAAGTAGGGGATATTGAAATGCAAATACCTACTTGTAATCCTTTGAGAGTATGTTCACAGACGAAGAACTTATCACCACAATTGAACCACTGAGCTGGGAGGGGTTCATTGTCAAATTTGACAATTCAAGGAAGGGTTGATGAAAACTGCCGCTTGCTGGTTTATCCTATCCATGTTTGTTTTCGTATCGGTTCTTGCATAAGATTTACTGTTTAGCGTATCTTTGCTTTAGTGTATTACGTTTAATTTGATCGGGAGACGTGTTCGTCGACGTCAACGTCAACCGACAACACTGCAAGAATTGGCCGTCGCACTGCAAGAGGAGTGGGTCAGATTGCTCCAAATCGTGATTGGCCTTTTGATTAAGAGCATGCCACGGCGAATTGCTGAATGTCTGAGGATTGGTGGAGCAATTACTCATTATTAAGACAAAAATCAAAAACGTCCATTTTCACTTTTGACGGTGTATCTCTTTGCGAGTGAAATGGGGCCGTCAGATAAGTCGCCCATATGAACTGTTTATGTTCAGGTGTAGGCAATTGGCCTGTTATTAACATACACTGGTTACCGCTAATAAAACATCAGTTTTGTATTATTTCTGAATATCCCCTACTTTTTTCGAAGCGTATATAAAAAAACGAAACGAAATAGGATCTGTGTGTTAATCAGATTGCCGTACCCCCAAAGAAAATACCTATGGGAGGCTTCTGCATTTTTTCTGAAGAGAAAAGCCAAAGACGTCAGGTGTTTTTTCTGCTTTTATCTAACCGATAATTCGTACATCGCGTGCAGCATTACATTTGTCAAGAACTTAATCTAAACAACATGATAGCTAATCTTTAAATACAACACGACTGGTCACCAGAGTAAAGCCAGATTAGCTGCTTTGTTTAAAGTCGTATGGGGTGATCCGTGGTAAACAATAACATTGTGAAAGGTGGGTCTGTAAGGGGATTACTGGTTGAAAACCTGTTTAATTACCTTTTATACAGTTGTGATTAATTGGAAATTTCGCAACATTTGACATCATGTCCAAATGATACAAAAAAACCTTTCTTGAAATGTTAATAACAAAAAAATATTTAAACTGTCGCCATTCCGAGGGGTTGGGTGGTCTAGTGGCCTAACGTGAGCGCTTGATTTCTATTTACCGCTTGTGCACGAGAAGTGGTAGGGACGCCTGTCCAACCTTCTGGTTTTTTTTTTCCAGATTCACCGGGTTCCTTATACTGCTACAGTCCCGAAATGACTTAGTTTGCGTCGAGTGGACGTTAAACACACACACACACACACACACACTCTCTCTCTCTCTCTTTCTCTCTCTCTCTTTCTCTCTCTCTTGTTTGCCATTCAGTTGACGACTACCGTCAAGACTGGTCGCATGTTTCCAGTGCGTCTTTCACAGTGCAGTGAACACGTACGGCTTGCCCCCAGATCCAGTATAGCACAAACACGGTGGACACGTACGCCCCTCACCCCAATCCATTCAGTTGATCTGATATCTGTTTATTGTTTGTATATTGTGTTCTGTCCGTGGGTTTGTCTTGTGTAATTGTTACTATTAACATGACAAGCTCGTAATCTAGGCCATCGGTCGGATGGTCGAGATATTAAATGGATTAGAACATCCACACTGTTTAATAAATTAACATTAAAATGAATAATCGAGTCTTTGTTTATTTTCACGGTGAGATAGCAACATGACTATTGATTGGAATAGACCAGTAATTAGTGTTTATAATGTCAAGATTCTGGATAATATTGAGTTAGAGTTACATGCCCTTTAAATGTTAAATGATCCATTTGGCTAGACATTACCGGGGGTTAATTTAAATGCCATGGGATATCTTGATATTTTCTGAAAAAATACAAATAGTGCTTGACAAAGACGGGAGAACTCTCGTCGAAACGTCGCTGTAATAAACTCTTCAAGTAACTTGTATTCCATATAATTGTGTCATGTGTTAGTGATCAGCGGCTTTAAAATGAAATAAAATGAGGTTTAACGTCCTACTGTTCTGCTCCTATGCTAGGCTAATGAAGACGGGATCAGCGGCTTCAAGGTTATGCTAAAGGGGCGCAACCGTGTTACAAACTAGTCCCAACATCTGCCCCCGGGATTGGGGCTAGAGGAGGTGGTGGAGGAGGGGGGAGGGGGTATTTTTCAAATACGAAAGTCTCAATAAAAGATATTATTAACGATCATATTTTGTCTCTCCTGCACTGGTCCATAAAACGTCGAATAAAGTTGTTTTGACATGACTCCACACTAACTATAAACATCTATGCAGCTAAATGAACAAAAGATGCTCTCAGAGTTTCTGATTTGATCAAATTTTCGGTTAATACCACAGATCGGACGTCAAACTTGACGTTGTCACCAACCCGCCTCCCCTCACCCCCCTGTTCAAATTCCTGAACACGCCCCTGAATGCACGATGTTAAACCAAATTCCTTTTAATAAACATGTGCATATTTTTCTTTGAAAGACCTTCGTGCTTGCCAAGAAAATTACTAAAGTCTTACGTTTCTGTTGATGAGCTAAGTATTAATTTTAAATACAATTGTTTAAAACATTCAAATGTGAAATTTGATTAATTCATATCACAGTCTATATAATGTCCTTTTTACGTGATTTCATGATATTAAAAGATAAATCATTCATGAGCTTATTGGTGCACACATCAATTCCTGTCAATCGATAGAACGTAGAACGGCTTAGATAAATAAAGATGTCGTGTAGTTCCTTTTTTTTTGGACCAGGGGGAGAGAGAGAGAGAGAGAGAGAGAGAGAGAGAGTTTAACGTCCACTCGACACAAAACTAGTTCATTTCGGGACTAACACATGGTTCAATTTTATTTCAATAATTCGCTTGCGCGTAGGGGTCTTTAACAGTTGGAGGAAACTGGAGGACACGGAGAAAATTCACGAGGTTGGACAGGCGACCCTACTCCTTGTCACGTACAACCGAAACCACTTCTTAATGATAGACCTTCTGATCCAACGCGCACGCGCTAACTATTCGGCCATCCACCCTCCCGTTGGGAGCAGGAAGATAACTTAAGTGCAATAGACATGAAACTTGGCGTGTATGCTCCTTGGACGTTTGCGCATGGATTTACGGAAGCGCGTCACGCTCGATTTCTGATCCATATAGGCTAGCACGCTCTGTATCTTATTATAGACCAATAGTCCCCCCTTCCACCCCTATCTTTAATTCTCAAGATATTTCACCTCTTTTAGCATTTAGATCGATCGATGTGGAAACGTTCACCCTACACCTACTCCTGGCCAAAAAAACCCAAACAAAAACAAAAATGTTTAATATCACAACCATCCGAGTTGATTATACTAGGCTTGTCATGTGAATAACTGTCTACATAACATTTCAGGCCTAAAGAAAGACCTGCATTAGTTTTTAAATAATGTATCTTTAACGAAACTTATTTAAAAAAAAACCCCAAAAAACAAAAACAGTTCAGCCCCAATACGCTTCCGCATTTTGGCCCCAATACGCTTCCGTACATTTGCGGTATTCCCCGTTCTCCAACATATTATTATGTATCATAGATTTATACTCTAATTGGTAATAGAGAAGTGAGTCTGGGAAAACAGGCCTATTGATTTCAGTCGAACTTGATTCTAAATAATGAAAATTAATTTGCTCAACCAGCAGTTTCCAATAAACAGAAATATAGACTCTTAACAATAAGTGCGATGTCGAGTTTTGTACACTTTGTGCCACCGCTACAAAAATTTAAACCCTTTTTTTTTAATTTAGAGTTTTATTGTGGCGTGATACTTGAGTATAACTTACAGGGCGCATCACATATTCTGGAACCTTATTGAGACTGGATAACCTAAAACTAAAAGGTAGATAGGATCGTATGAATATAGCAAATCAAGTAGTACCCTTTCATTTCCGTTAAAAAATGACGTGATGTAATTTCCAGTTTACAATAAATAATACGTCGGGAAACACTTACTAGGAAAAAATGATTCGCCATTGGATGTCGGACCCGAAAAACTAGCGTACCATGTGATTTTAATCTTCAGTCATAGAAATAGAATCTCAAAAGTCGATTATTTCCTACCGGGAAATTGAAATCGAAAGTAAAACAGTTTTTTTTTGTAATTCGTAGAAATGGCAAATATTATTGATGAATGAAGGTAAGGATTTCTAATATTAGAGAAATGAGTCATCGCCACAAGACTTTTTCTGGGTTTTCCTTTTCCAATTGTGTTGTAATGTTGTGACTGCAGGTATATATTCTATCATAACATAATTTAATGTGGTTTTACAGGGCTGGCCACGAATAAATTGATGGCGAGCAGATGACTGCTCACGCAAATTTAGGTTTGGGCGAGCAAGGCGAGGAATAAAAATTGCTCACGCAAAATGTTGTTTGCGTGAGCACACATTTTGTAACATTGTTTCAATTTAAAATCATAAGAAAATTGCTATTTCTGGCACAAAGTTTGCAGTAAACATGTGTGACCATCGCTTTCTGTTTTTGACAGTCATACGTACTCTTCTTTATTAAAACCAATTTCCGTATGGATTTCTTCACCCCACGAAATAAATGTGGATAGGGCAATCAGGTTGCCTTTGGCCATTATTACGCTTAGATTGAAAATTATACGACTGCACAATGGAATAAAAACCGAAGTTCTGATAAAATAGGAAATACCGATAAATATTAGTTTGAAACGTGTTCATTTAGCGTGAATGCCAAATGCCGGATGTAAACATTCTTTACTTTAGACTCGATTATCACGTGTTTGTTACTGGTGTTCGTAGGAAAACCAGTCATGACGTTCAGGTCTAAAGTGTATTTTTAGTAACACAAGTTGTGAGTAACTTTATTAGCCAATCAAATTTCAGGAGGAAATGCCGCGTGCAGCTGGGTAAATCTCAGTTTGACAGACGAATTTATGACGTTATTCATATTGTTGGGTTAGTTTCGACAATAAACTTGTCAATATTTTGATTATTTTTACAGGGTTTTCTTAAAATTTTGCGCGAGCAACGAACCGCTTGCGTAAATGTAGATTTACGCGAGCACAGCGCGAGCGCGAGCAGTTGTTCGCGTCCCGTGGCAAGCCCTGGTTTTAGGACTCGGAGAAATCGGATGTATGGAGGCTGAATATAGTCATACTGATACCTTCTACTAAAAGTAAAAGTCTATTAATTGTCACAGTACATGGACTGTTGTATTGTTTACATATTAGTGCCATAATACTATATTATATAATTCTTTCAGTCTTTATGATCAAAACAAAGATTCAGACCATCAGCCCGAGGTATAAATGAATAATCAACCCGCTTTTTATGTAGCACTTTAATGGTGGAATTACCATCTCAATTGAATACTGGTAACTGGATAAAACAGACTAAGATTTTACCTACTTTCTTCATATATTTGTAGAACTTTAATTATTGAATTACCAATTAAATACTGGAAAAAACAGACTAAGATTTGGCCTACTGTGAGAACTTTAATCATTTAATTAATATACCAATTAAAGACTGGACAAAAAAGCCAACTATTAGTATTAAGAATGCAGCGAACAAGTGATGTAATGATCCATAATACTACTGTATTAAGTGACCTCCAAGAGGGAGATATTGTCGAGTTCGATCGTGGACTTTATTCACATTATGGTGTTTATGTTGGTAAGAATTTTATAATATTCTCTGGTTTAACTTCCATTCAACGCAAACAAAGTCATTACAGGACTACGTAACACATGGTTCAATTTTATTACAAGAGGTCTTCAGCTGTGGGAGGAAACCGGGGGACTCAGAGAAAACCCATGAGGTTAGACAGACCACCTACTACTTGTTACGTACAAGCTGGGAATTAAAACTTGGGCAACTGACAGACCTTATGATCCAAAGTACACATAGACCAATCCCCCCCCCCATTTACTCTAAGGTCAATGTCAATTGGACAACTCTAAAAGGCCAATGTCTATCAGACATGACAACCCGAAAGGCCAATGTCTATCTATCAGACATGATAACACCAAAGGCCAATGTCTATCAGACATAACAACCCTAAAGGCCAATGTCTATCTGACATGTCACATTGTAACCCTAAAGGTCAACAGAATGTAAAGTTATAGCAGGTTTATATTGATTTAGCACACACCACTTGTCTTGCCCATTAAAAGCAACCCCCACCCCCCATCCCCACTCCCATAAAAACACTGACATTTTGAATAGTACTGAGTTCTAGTATATCAGAATAGCAAATTAAGACACCTTAATGATGCTCCAATTCCTCCACCCCCATTGTATGTTTGACTATTAAGATTAATTAATTGCCTTTTTTCAGGGAATGAAGAAATTGTTCATTTAGCCGGTGAAGATGAATATGATGGTTTAGGTGACGTCAATACCAGTCATCTCTTCAGTATTTCTGGACAAAGATTCAACAAAGCCTGGGTGAAAAAAGATAGTTTTTGGACCGTGACCAGCAATTCTAGAGCCAAGATAAATAACAAAGATAACAAGAGAAAGTAAGAAATGAAATAAAATTGGGTTTAACGTCCTACTGTTTTGCTCCGAACTGGGCTAATGAAGAAGGGTATACGCCATACAGAGTGCTATGAGGGAAATTTTGCCCGGGCAGTGGCACTACGGCCTACTCTTATATCGAATTCAAACTGCCAAGGGATCTTTTACGTGCACACCAATGTGTACACGGGACATCATTTTTTTGTCCCATCCGAATCACTAGACAGCTGTTCTTGTCGGGCCCTCCGACCTGTATCACTGACAAGGGGGAAGCACGCCAGAAAATCTAGCTGAACTTTCTCGGCCAATGCAGGGATCGAACACCTGACCTCCAGACTAGCTAGCCAGCATCTTACCTACTTAGCCACCGTGATCCCCCAAGAAAGTAAGAATATTTTATATAAAAATAAAGCCGCTGGTCGTCATCAAATTGTATTTTTCTGACAAGATCTAATTTTCTCACAGCTTGAACTCAATTGGAGAGAGAGAGAGAAATGGGTTTAACATCCTCTCGACACAAACTACTGTCTGATTCATCGTAAATTTTAAACGGATTTCTTCGAATATGAACAAACTACTTAACTTTAGTTATTATAAACTTACCTGGGTGTTTGTAATGAACTCCCGTTCGATAAAATCCATTGCACAACTAATTATCACAACGATGAAAACAATTTCTCTCTTGAAAAATTTGAAAATTTACTTGTAATTTCGACAGAGTCGATGTCAACAATGTCTTCGTGACGTAATGGTCGAATCCAATATACCTGTTGCGGGGGTTGGTTAACATTGAAAGATAGTTTGACAGCGCGATCATTTTGATCGTATATGGGTTTGGGCGACGAAAAATATCAATTGAAGGCAATTACATAGGAGATTTATATGGAAACCATTGATCGCCAGTCTATCAAATTTTCTTCACAATCAAAATATCACTGATTGCACGGATACTCGTAAAAATAAAGTCATGAATAAACTATAAATATCCTATCTTCTTTATGTTATAAATAATTTAACAAGGATCATGAAGCTTACCTCCGAATTCTCTGAGTGTATTTTTAATTTTATACGCATTCTTTCGATCGAATAATAACCGCTTCAGTAACATCTTTAAGCGTGTTGCGGCAGCCCTCAGCGTGTCTATTGCCGTATTGGGTGCCCGGGTGGGTATATAATGCTACTAAGCCCGTATGACCCCGTAAGAAGCGGAACATTAATTCTCGATTCGACAGTTTTGACCGAAGTGTGATAAAGCCCGTAAAACGAATGTATAGTTGTGTTTGTGCGGCATGCGTGTTCAAAAGTAAATAATCCCATCCGAGTCGCTAATCAAATAATTAGAACAAAATATTTCAAAAAGTAAAGCTATAAAATTTGCAGAGATTTTACTAGAATGTAAAAGACGGTAACTAAATACAGGAATGCGGGTAGTTATGTGTGCGAACGCTCAAACTCAATGCCAATTGTCGTAGGTATCCAGACCACTCGGACCAAAGACTACTCGGACTAAGACCAGTCGGACCAACACAAGACCAGTCGGACCAATTAAATTATATTATAAGGCTAGACAATATGCTATTTATTTATTATTAAATCACAATACAAAGAAGCAAATAATTCTTATACGGAATTCTTATATTTAGAGTTGTTTGGTTCAATTTTGTGTACGGAAAATAAATCAACGATTAGTTTTAAAATTAATTAATAATGGTGCCAAAAAAAAATATCAATCTAATTTTTCTTTACTCTTGCAATGAGACTCGGTATGTCCAGACTTTTGACAGTTTCTACATATACGGGTATACTGTTCTTGTCTGATAGCCTAATTTTACTTTTTCCACATTCGCGGTATCCCCAGTGGTTTCATTCCGTTCTACCCCACTAACCCCTGGGTTACTATATATGGGGGGGGGGGGGTGTGGAGACACGTTTTCAAGTTATCCGCCCTTGATGCGTTAATATAAACAGCACATAATAATACGAAGACCGGACGTTTATATGCCCCTTTTTAAACGTGACTACAAGTGTGGTTCTCGATATTTTGCGATTTGGAATACAATTATCAATTTATTCAAACAACACGTTATTATTAGTTCGAGTAGTCATATTAAAACACACACAATTATCAATTTATTCAAATAACACTTTATTATTGGTTCGAGTAGTCATATTAAAATAAACACAATTATCAATTTATTAAAATAACACTTTATTATTGGTTCGAGTAATTATATTCAAACAAACGCAATTATCAATTTATTAAAACAACATTTTATTATTGGTCCGAGTCGTCTTTCTGTTGGGTCCGAATAGTCTTTTTGTATGGTCCGAGTAGTCTATTTGTTTGGGCTGAGTGGTCTATCAGTTGGTCCGACTGGTCTTGAACCGAGTGGTCTTTGGTCCGAGTGGTCATGGATTCTTGTCGTAATTGTACTTGAATTTCCTATGCTGTCACCCCTAATACGAAATGATATCTTCCGCAGAGTGACGTAACCATCTTCCATATTGGTATTTTTCTCTGGGAAAAGTTTGTGATATTTCAATTTTTCAAGAGAGAACTTGTTTTCATCGTTGTGATAATTAGTTGTGCAATGGATTTTATCGAACGGGAGTTCATTACAAACACACAGGTAAGTTTATAATAACCAACGTTAAGTAGTTTGTTCATAATCGAAGAAATCCGTTTAAAATTTACGATGAATCAGACAGTAGGTAATTTCTGAACTAACATATGTTTCAATTTTGTTTCAATAATTCTGTTGCACATAGGGGTCTTTAGCAGTGGAAGGAAGCCATAGAAACCCCACAAGATTGGACAGGTGACCCTACTCCTTGTCACGTACAACCAGGCAATTGAAACCATGCCAGTTGACTCAATGAAAGACCTTATGATACAATGCACACATGCTAACCATTTGGCCAGCCAACCTGCAATACTAAGTACAGAAGGAAAGTTTTGTAATAACTTATTAATGATGCCTTTATCAAATTTTTTACAGGCCATTACCGAAACGTCAAATAGTGGAGAATGCATTATCTCGATTGGGTCGTGTTGGCTACAACCTTATCTACAGTAACTGTGAACATTTCGCTAATTGGTGTCGATATGAAGTCGAGAAAAGTGAACAGGTAAGAACTAGAATACAAAAGTTTTTAATGTCTCATCTAGAAAATAATTTGGTCATTTTGAGACTAACATTATGGTAAAAAGGGTCTAGTCCTTCGTATGGAATGGAAATTCATGGCCCACGCATATACTTATTGGCGTGCACGTAAAAGAACCCTTGACAGTTGGAATATGACAAGCATTATAAGGGTATGTTGTTTCTATGGTTACGAGTGCAATTTATGGTAAGAGAATTTTACACATACAGCAGCGTTTTCAACTGTCAAGGGATCCTTTATGTGTGCCATCGAAAAGACTGGTGGACCTCATCCAAATAAGTGATGGACCAACTCTTTATCGAATTCCGACTGTAAAGAGATCTTTTACAGTTTGACCACAGTTGTTTGTCCCATCCGAACAACTAGAACGTTTCCTTGCCAGGCCCTACATTTTGTGCCGCTGAAAGCAAGACAGGAATTATCTTCACCAACACTGTGATCGGACAATACGTATTTTAATATCCAGGGGGATGGCCGAATGGTTAGCACGTGCGTGTTGGATCGTAAGGTATGTCATTGAGTCAACTGGCGTTGTACGTGCCAAGGAATAGGTCCGTCTGTCCAACCTCATGGGTTTTCTCCGTCCTCAGGGTTTCCACCCACTGCTAAAGACCCCTACGTGCAAGCAAATTATTGAAATAAAATTAAACCATATGTTAGTTCCGAAATGACCAAGTCTGTGTCGGGTGAACGTTAAACTCTCTCTCTGTGTGTGTGTGTGTCTCTCTCTGTCTGTCTGTCTGTCTGTCTCTCTCTTTAATATCCGCGTTTTATTTTTTACAGGTTGATAATTGGTTAACAGGACTGGCACTGGGGGTTGCAGGGGTTTTAACGGTTGTTGGAGCAGCGTTTTTGATGCCTCAGAAAGATGAGAAAGGGAAAGAAAGGGCCCAAGAACAATAGTTGTAAAGATTCCAAGATTGCCAGTGAAATTGAATTTATAAAGTTGTATATAATTCATCTTTATGTTTGTATATAAAATGTTTATATTTTTAACCAGAACAGAAGACTTTTAACGTGATTTTAATGCCATAAAATTCCTTGCTAACTACAATATTATGAAAATGGAATCTCTAATAGTAATATCAGTTCGACAATAGTTGAATATCAGTTCAGTATTTACAAATACATGTATGTAACAAATTGAAAATTACATCAAAATACATTGTGTAATAAGCAAGACGTCATCTTTATCTCCCGGGAACCAAATTGATGATCCTGTTTAGCATCTGATTGAATTCAAGCTGTGAGATTATCTAGGGGGTACGCGATTAAACGTTCTGGACTTGAATTCTCAAAAATAATCACAATCGAGTGAAAAGGGGGATTTCGGGTTACAGCATAAGAAAATCAGCTGTCATGGTTGGTTGAGATATTTTCTTATGCTGTGTTTAATTACGTCACGATTCTACTTACACCACCTCCTGTGACAGGACTGAATTCCGCGTCATTCAATTGCAAATCTGTCAGTTCGGAACGTTCTGGACTGAGAATCAAGCATCCCTTAAGCATTGGTATTTTTATTTTGGATTTCTTGATTAAATGTTAAATAATCAATTTGAGTACATTTTTGCATATATTAAAGATAGATTATGGGAGATAAGATAAAGAGATGGCAGTTCTCGCTATAATAGTTTAAAACTAGATAGTGTAAAGGTAATTTGCTGAAAATTTCAGTCAAATTGATCCACTATAAGCCGAGAAAGAAGCCGATGAAATTTTCGCATAGTCTCAGTTATCATCACTAAAATCATTAATATAAAAAGCATAGTCTCGATTACCCTCTTTTCTGATTTAATTATCTTTGGCCGTTAGCGGCATATAGGAATCTAATCAAGCCTACATCGAAGGCTAGCCTTGACATCGAGAGTCATTATACACAACAAACAATCTGACAAAAAAGATCTGAGCTTCGGTGTACCGCAGGGCTCAGTTTTAGGCCCAATTTTGTTTAGCATATACACCACCCCATTGTCCAAAATTATTGAGAAACATGGTCTGCAGTTCCAACTTTACGCAGATGACACTCAGTTGTACCTGTCGTTTAAACCCTCTCTGCCTGGAGATTTCAATACATCAAAATATCAAATTGAAGAGTGTATTATTGAAATTCGTGTATGGATGGGAATCAATTTCCTTAAACTGAACGACGAAAAGACTGAATACATTCTTTTTGGATCAAACAGTTTAGTATCTAAGTTTGATAAAGGTGTTTCACTCTTAGTTGGTGAGCATGAAATAATCCCAACATCTTCAGTCTGTAACATTGGTGTTATCTTTGACAGTGAACTATCCATGGAGAAACAAATTAGCAATATTTGCAGATCTTGTTATTTTCAACTGAGGAATATAAGTAAAATCAGTAAAAATTTGCCAGTTGAGTCCATCAAAACTGTTGTTCAGGCGCTTGTCACATCACGATTAGATCAATGTAATTCGTTACTTATTGGTTTACCATCTCGTCTCACTGATAAATTGCAAAAGGTTCAGAACGCCGCAGCTCGTCTCATTACCAGAAGTAAATATAATGATCATATCACCCCTATTTTAATTCAACTTCACTGGTTACCCATTGTTTTTAGAATTCAATATAAGGTCATTCTTTTAACTTTTAAATGTTTAAATCATATGGCACCGTTGTATTTATCGTCGCTTTTAGATATATATTCCCCTACTCGTACATTGAGGTCCTCAAGTGACCATTATTCACTTGTCTGTAAAACAGCTAGACTGAAAACTTATGGTGAACGATCGTTTACAGTGCAGGCCCCTAAACTGTGGAATAAGCTCCCACTTACTCTCAGAAGTTCTACCTCTTTATCGAGTTTTAAATCGCAATTGAAAACACTTTTATTCAAACAAGCTTTTGATTTATAGATTTATTTTTACTGTTTTAATTTTATACAATTATTATAGATTTTTAAACGTATGTTTTATTTTTTTTATAGTTTTTTATGTAATATATATTGTACAGCGCATCTGAACACATTTTGTGAAAGCGTGCGCTATATAAATGATGATAATAATAATAATAATATTATGGTCTGGATAAGTTAATTAATGTCTAATTGATAATTTAGATAAAATTTCAGGCCTAAGGAAAGACTTGTAATAAGCAGATTTTGCTCTTGCATAATGCATGTTTAAGCTGTGAGAGATTCTATATTTTCCTTAAATTTAATTTTTATTTCTAAACTGAACTCAAATGGTATTTATGTATGATAGATTTAGAAGTAATAATATTTCTACCATAAAAAAAACTGACGCATGCAAGGGAAGACTTCAACTTTCTTATGAGGAAAAGTCTTAGAAGTCTTTAATCTTTTTCTGACAGATAAAGAACTGGAGTTTATATAAGATGAATTTGTGTTCTATTATTTTGTGTTCAAGTTTTTGTATCTCGAAGTTTTCACTTGTCATCCTCATACAAAATCTGGAACAAAGACTTAACCATTTGTTACTCTGTAATGAATAGCGTATAGCCAAAAGAATGTTTAGGAAAAGTTTGAGTAGGGCAATGAGACGTGGATAACAATGATGCAATGGGGAAAGTAGTGGTGGTCTGCATCCAAACAATATCAAGGGAGCTAACTGCTTTTTTCTGCACTTGGACTAAGACTAGTAATTATTTCCCTTCATTTCATGATGGACGAATGTAGTGCGAGTTATAAATAGACAATTTTTCCCTTAATTTTTTTCTCCCCTCTTCCTGCATTTTTGGGTTGACTTTTTGGTCTAGAATTGGAGAAAAGGGATCAAATTTGCAATTTCATAGCAGTTTTGGGTAATACTGATGATATTACAGCGGAGGGATAGGGGGTGTAAAGTGTCTTTCTGCAGAGCAGTCATTGTGTCGGAAGTGAGATTTTCACCCCAGTCAACTTCAAATCCGTGTAGCAAAAAATCTAAATGGTCAACCCCCTACAAAATTATGATGAGGAGATTGCCAAATGTTGTCCCCATTGTGCCTATAAAGATTGGAACCAACGGAATGTTGAGAAAAAAGCTACAGCCTGTGATGTTACAGCCATTTAACATTGAAGTCAATGGGCAAATAATTGCTAGTCGGAGTCCTGATGATATAAAGAAGCATGGCCGACTCGGGATGTTGATATTTTTTCAACGGCTTATTTCCTGAAATTTTGAATGGAAAGTGTCAGAAATGGTAAGAATACTGCTTTTTTATTGCCCAGCAGTAAGTTTTTTGACTATTTGGTATCAAAATAGCCATGATTGGCCGAGTGTGAATTTTGGGTTGTAAATGTGTAACATTTTGTTCACAATGATATCAAAACATGGTTAGGTCTAAATATTAAGGCCAACTCAACTGCAGATTTGGTCTAAAGTCACGAGATGTAAACAGGGCTGACCCTAACCCTAACCCAAGACCCAGTCCTTACCTTAACCCTAACCCACAATCTTTTCAAAAAGCATGTAGCCTAGGCCTAAGCCAAGACCTAGTCCTGACCCTAGCCCTAACCCACAATTGTGTCAAAAAATCATGTGCCCTAACCCTATTTACATGTTGTAACCTTGAACCAAGTCTGCAGTTGGCCTTAATATTTAGACCTAACAAGTTTTTGACATCATACAATGAAATGTTAACATGTACACTCCAAAATTCACACCTGTGTGACTTTTGACTAAACCTGCAGTTGGCCTTAATATTTAGACCAAACCTGGAAACATGGTGTCTACCTTTGAGATTGGCTTAGACTTATGTGACATTCAAGGTTTACTTATTTACTGACTGTTAACTGGTTTCTTGTTGGGGGGGGGGGGCACTGAAGGGATGTTCGCTAGAAATAAAGAGGCATATTATTTCTATTTCCAGTTGAAACCGCGAGGAGGTCTCCCTTCTTATTCAACCACATATTTTTTTTTATTATTATTATTTTCTTACTTTTTTTTTATTGCATATTTATTTCCATCTTTCTTTCATTTCAGGTGTCAGGTTACTGTGCAAGAGTGGTATGATTGACCTCAACACAAGTATTAAGGCAAAAGGTGGGTATATGACAATGGCTTGCATTTGTCTGTCTTGCTTATTTACTATAGCTGTGATCCTGTAAAGTGTCATCTGCTGTTGATGGCTGGTCTAAATGGCCCTTTTTGTAGCCGGATTCAACTGCACAGTAATTCTTGTACTCGCGGAATTCATAAAGCTTTCGTCCACGCAGCAGAAGTGCTTGTCTTTGCACTTCGGGTCTGGATTGGTATTCTCTGTGGTACAGACTCTCTCTTTCTATTTGCCGCAGGGAATATCTTGTCTTTGGAGAAAGAGGGGCCCCAAGGAGTTTAGCTTTCTGCTCAGTGGCACTCTTTATTCCATCAATGCTTCTCAATATTGTTGAGGAAAGTCGACCCATCGCATTTCTTCCGTAATTTACATTCTTTGGAAGTGAAACACTCAACGAGCGGTTGATTGCTTCACATTTCTGTGTATTTGTTTGGAATTTGGTTTTTTCTAAAGCTGCTTCACTTATTCGGATTTTTAAAATTTCACTTAGAATTGATTTGTCATTTTCATTCATTTTCAGGGAATCAACTTTGTTTGAGGCCAGATACATGGAACGGTTCCACCAGTTATTTGTTATCCCACCCCGGCACACAACAGAATGAAGGCGGCACTTTGAGCAGTCGCCGTCGTAACACATGATAGTGGACTCTAGGACTTTTGGTAGGCGTTTTCTCATCTCCTCGGTATTACCACAGTGATTTTCAAACAATGTAGTCATGATTAGACTGCATCTAGCTTTTACATCTTGGCTCAGTATTTTCTTGATCTTGCCCTTATCCAGTCTGGTTTTACCAGGAAACATCTCCTCGCTGAATTTTGCATTATAGCAGTGCCTGAATTGAGTGGCAGCCGGGTGTGAAGGGTCAGCTAGTCGCTCCACACTCCACATCGGATGCAAAATTTTTAAACTATCTTCAATTCCAGCAGCTGATCGTCCATCTCCATCTGTTGTTGCATATTTGATGAGGACGTTTTGGAGAGCTAGTTCTGTGCCAATGCTTTTCCCCATGTCATACTCAGATAATGGTGCGTGAACTGGTAAATTTGCAGTACAGCCTTCGTGTCCCCCAGGGCAGTTGACAGTAAAACCTTTTCCCTTAAGCCAGGCACCTTGCCAGCACAGTTTATTTTGCATCACAGCACTCAGGATATATTTGTGCTTTGTGTTTGTCTCGCATGCAATTCCAATGGCTTGCGAGGCTGCTTGCCCTGGCTTTTTACTGTGGCCTATGGTTATGCTGTTGTAACGCCCATCCACTGCAACATTTATTATATTTGGGTTTACTGACCCTCCCTTCTGATTAAAAGATTTGACTGCTTCTATTTTTTCCCTCATGTTAATAGTGTTCAACCTTGTCATTTTAGCACTAACTTGGTTAGAAAGAGTCTGCATGCCACTGCGAGAGGGCGGTGGAATATCCAAATCTGTCAACAGCAGCCGAGCTCTGGTGTTTCCAACCGGCATGTCTAACAGTCCAGATTGTAGGGTCAGATTAATAGCGGCTGCCTTTCTTCCTGGTTTGCCAGTTGGAATCTCTTTATACAACTTGTAGACAGGTGAGATAAATGTACATTTTGTACACTTTACAGAGTACATCCAACCCGCTCCCCACTTCTGCTCACTAACAGGCTGGAAATTTGGTACTGCACAGGCCTTTCTTCTCCCCTGGGCATGTAACCGAATGACAGAATTCCACATTTCAATCATTTTCTGGATGTCTATAATCCTGTTTCCCTGGATAGTATTCGCCTCAGAATTCTCAGTCTTATCCAAATTTAACATTTCAGGTCTACATCTCAAAACCCGATGACTTCCCGGACTGGCATTAGTAGAAAGATGATGCATATGAATTTCATCCCTGATCCGTGTGACACCTGTGGAAGTTGAGGGCAAATCATAATCAGTTTGGGTTCCAGCCGAGGACCCCTGTAAACGTTGCTGTTTAGTGTTGACTTCATGTCCGAGCTTGAAAAAGACAGCCTTGCGTTTATTATGGCCTCTCATATTGGAAGATAACATAAATGGCTTGTATGTTGACTGTTGTGCATATCTCTGGGTCAGGAAAGTTGTAGGTACCATCAACATTGTAAATCATTTGACAGACCAGAATGGAGAGTGAGAACTATGATTGGTCAGTCATGTATCAGATTCCATACTAGGGGGTGGGGATCATAAAACTGTTGTAGTGTTACATAATCAGATTATCTGAACTTAATTGTCCTATGTAAATACAGCTATGTAGGAGACATTTTAAAATTTATAGGCACTGCATGTTTCAACATCTTAGATTTGACCACAATTTTGCTCTTGAAACTGCGTTAAGAGAGAAAAACTAAGATCTTTTCGACGAAAATGTTAAAAAAATCTAATATTACATGATAATTACTGTTTTAAAGGATTTTCTTGTTTGATTTATATTGAATTTTTGTTATCTTTTTACAGAATGCATTTATGTTCAAAAATAAAAATGTTCTGTTTAATTCAAAATTCATGTGCTTTTAAATTTCTGTCTGAAATTCCGCAGTTTTCTGATGTATTATAGTGTTTGCAGAATGCTGCAAAGCTCATCTGAAAATGCATAGATTTTCATAATCTTTGGCCAGGGAATTGCATATATGTTTGTTTATTAGATAACAACAGATTTGTTTAAACTGCAGAAACATGTGAGGTATATAGGACTAAGACTAGTAATTATTTCCCTTTATTTCATGATGGACGAATGTAGTGCGAGTTATAAATAGACAATTTTTCCCTTAATTTTTTTCTCCCCTCTTCCTGCATTTTTGGGTTGACTTTTTGGTCTAGAATTGGAGAAAAGGGATCAAATTTGCAATTTCATAGCAGTTTTGGGTAATACTGATGATATTACAGCGGAGGGATAGGGGGTGTAAAGTGTCTTTCTGCAGAGCAGTCATTGTGTCGGAAGTGAGATTTTCACCCCAGTCAACTTCAAATCCGTGTAGCAAAAAATCTAAATGGTCAACCCCCTACAAAATTATGATGAGGAGATTGCCAAATGTTGTCCCCATTGTGCCTATAAAGATTGGAACCAACGGAATGTTGAGAAAAAAGCTACAGCCTGTGATGTTACAGCCATTTAACATTGAAGTCAATGGGCAAATAATTACTAGTCTGAGTCCACTTGTAAAACATGGTGATTATTTATCTTGATAACTTATTTGTTTTTTGATTAAATGTTTTTGTTTTAATATTTTCAACAATTCCTTGACCCATGACTTAAAACAAATTGAATTGAGTTGATCTGATGAATTATGTAGATTAGTTTAGGTTAAATCCACTGATCATGATTCTAGAGCCATATAATTCCTTGCAAACTATAAAATTGTGAAGTTGAATCTCTAAATAGAAATACATGTCAAATAATGGTTCAGATCCTTTCAGTATTTATAAAGATATGTGGAATTGAAATTTCATCGATTTATACTGGGCGAAAAGGATTAGACCAACATTCTAGCAACGTTTAAACGTTTTCTACTTATATAATATTAATTGATAATAATTTTTCAATGAAGGATACCAAGTTATATTTATTCCTTTCGTTGTATTAAGGTCTACTAACATTATATTGTTTTGTAATGAACGATACCAAGTTAATATTTATTCCTATCGTTGAATAATGCTAATGTCTACTAACATTATATTGTTTTGTAATGAACCATACCAAGTTATATTTATTCCTTTCGTTGTATTAAGGTCTACTAACATTATATTGTTTTGTAATGAACGATACCAAGTTAATATTTATTCCTTTCGATGTATTAGGGTCTACTAACAGTGCATTATAATGTCCATATATTTTGATTTCTAACAGAATAAAATCAATACGATTAAATGTTGGTTTTAAAAAGAAATTCAGTTGTTTATTAATTCTTTGTTATCACACGCGGAACGAAGTTAGGGAAGGATATTGAAATGGGCTCCGTCCGTTGGTCCATCCAGATTCTGTTTTTGGAGCATATCTCATAAACTGTTCAAGATATCATGTGTACACACATATACCTATTACAGTTGATGCTATTTAGGAATTTTCCGGGGTGGTTTCCCCTTGTCAGTGGAATAGGACGTTGGGCCTGACGAGGACAGCTGTTTAGTCGTGCGGATGCGACGAAAAACCAAGGTTCCATGTAAACTGTATGGCATAAGCCGGTCTTCATTAGCCCAGTCGGAGCAGAACAGTAGGAAGTAAAACCCCATTGCATTTTTTTTATTTAGGAATTTACTGGAATTATTTTTTTGTGTGTTTCCATGGAAACAAAGTTGACATAGTGTTTGGTGTGCAATTTTGTTTCCGGAGCATATCTCATAAACCATTCATGAAACTTTGTACAGACATCAACCTATCGTAACAGTACTTTTGCTAATTTGCTAATTTGGAATTTCTTGGATTTAGTAATTTTTATACGCCAAAATTGGAATGTGGCCGTATATTATCGTCGCCCCCGTCCGTCCGTCGGTCCAGCGTCCACAATTGCTTGTGAGCTAAAGTTAATATTCGATTGACTTTAAAGTTATACACAGTGTTTAAGGTCATGAGACGAAGAATCCTATTAATTTTTTACCGATTTCCGATAATTACTGCCGTAGTTATGGCCCTTGTTCACTTTGAAAAATCTTGTGGATGATCTCAAGGCTAAAGTTAATATTCGATTGACTTTAAATTTATTTTATACACAGTGTTTAAGGTCATGAGACGACGAACCCTATTGATTTTCTCTGATTTCCGATAATTACTGCCAGAGTTATAACCCTTGATCACTTTGGAGAATCCTATTGACTTTCTCTGATAGCCGATAATTACTGCCAGAGTTATGGCCCTTGATCACTTTGGAAAATCTTGTGGATGCTCTAGAGGCTATAGTTAATACCCAATTGACTCTAAATGGGTGCACCGTGTTTAAGGTCCTGAGGCGGAGAAGCCTATTGATTTTCAGCGATTTCCGATAATTACTGCCAGAGTTATGGCCCTTGATCATTATATATTTATACACCGTGTTTACGTCTATATATATACTCTTCCAAAAAAGTAGGGGATATTGAAATGCAAATACCTAATATTTGGGACCTATAAATTGACAAAAATGTGTCGCAACGCATATAATAATATAATATTAATGTATATAAACTGATTTACATTCAATTCTTTACTGTTTTTACTGTAATTTCTAATCAGTTATGTTCGGCGAAATACGCCAGAAGTCTCATGTGAATGGCAATATTTAGCGTCTGGTTTTTCCAGTCTACACCGATGGTATTTATTGCGCATGCTCTCCAGATAAGAATATGTCGTCACCATTTGACGTGACTGGTGGAATATGTCTAGCCATGTTCTTTGAGTCCCTTGTTCCAAATGGCACTGAAACGCATTATGGTAAAATGTTTATTTTGTCTTGAATATTGGATATCAGAAGCCCATCTTTTCCCTGTAAGATCACAAGACCAATGTTGATTTGAATTGACAAATAATTCATGTTTTCAATGTCGAAAATTTTTGATGATATTGAGTTAGAGACTTAGCTACTTTAACGTCAGACAGCATGACATCCTGGCACCGATAGTTCTGCCCTTTGCTCAACGTGCAGGTCGACATTTCATCTTTCAAGATGATAATGCCCGGGCCCACTGCGCTGGTGTCGTGAATGACTACTTCCAGCGTCACCATATTATCCATATGCCTTGGCCAGCCATGAGTCCTGACCTTTCCCCTATAGAGCATGTCTCGGACATGATCGGGAGACGTGTTCGTCGACGTCAACGTCAACTGACAACACTGCAAGAATTGGCCGTGGCACTGCAAGAGGAGTGGGTTAGATTGCCTCAAATCGTGATTGGACGGTTGATTAGGAGCATGCCACGACGAATTGCTGAATGTCTGAGGATTGGTGGAGCAATTACTCATTATTAAGACAAAAATCAAAAACGTCCATTTTCACTTTCACAGTGTATCTTTTTGCGAGTGAAATGGTGCCGTCAAATAAGCCGCTCATATGAACTGTTTATGTTCATGTGTAGGCAATTGACCTGTTATTAGCATAGACTGGTTACCTCTAATAAAAACAGCAGTGCATTTCCGCAGTTTTGTATTTTTTCTGAATATCCCCTACTTTTTTTTGAAGAGTATATAACCGTTTGAGTTGACTTTAGGTGGGTACACAGAGTTTAAGATCTTGAGACGAACAAGTACATTGTATTGATTTTCAATGATTTTTGATAACTTGAACAGCTAAATCCATGATATTAAATGTTTTGTATACTAAACGTTAGCATGGGCCAAAAAAATTCCAATGATTTTCTGATAATTACTTAAAGGGACAATAACACTCTTGCTGGCTTGAAAGCTCCAGAAAATAAATAATATCTCTATATAGGTACTATATGTTTAAGTGTCCTACCTGTTGTGTAAATTATCCATTACATCCTATTTTACTTGTCCAGAGAGTTCGAAAATATTTTTAAATTGAAGTTTCATTTGAAAAGGTTTACGTTAGACGTTTCAAACCATTATGTTGAATTTTTCAAATTTTTTAAATAATGTGTGTTAAGATGAAATTTGTATCATCAATTAATTGGAATATTGTAAAATAGTACAATATGTTGACCAGAATAAAGATTGGGACATATTATTCAGTTACAACAAGAGTGGTATTCAGCCTTTAATGAGTTGTTACTCAAATCTGATTAAAATACAGATCTATATTTCGTTTCGTTTTTTATACTTTCGATGGCCAGTTGTAGCGATAGTTCGCGTCAGAGGTCATACGAGTGGCTTTTAACCCTATGACGTCAGACATTTGATTAACCAACCAGCATTGATGTTACTAGTGGATTACCTACAGTTCCGTGCAAAACACGCCTAAAGCTCGTCGTTACAGACCGTTTCATTGGCTAATCCCTCACATCATCCAGAACACAGGTTATATAATAACTCTTCCAGGTCCTAGTGTAGTAAAGACAAGTAAAATGAAATTTTGAACTATAAAGAACGAAACGAAATAGGATCTGTGTTTTAATCAGACTGTGATGTAAACAGCATTATTAATATGCAATATACATAATTGGATTCTTAATCAAGCTTTAAACCATCGACAGTCGAACGTTTAAATATAGACATATATCTACTTCTTAAATCTGGATAAAAAATCCCAGAAGCCTGAAAATCCAATCCTGTGATAGCCAGTAACACTTTGTGGATATGTAAAGTGGAAAGAATGGTATTAAAGTACCAACAGGGCAACTCTGGTAATCAATGCGCAATTGTACAAGGAACAAACATGCATTGTATCATGTCGATCGTATCTGAATTGATGGAAATGAAATGAAATGAAGTTTTATGGCACGTCAGCACCCACCGGGCTATATTGCGCCAAACATATGGTGATTTATGTGAGACAAGTTAAATAAATATCACAGATAAAGTATTATATGCATAAATAAAAACAATATCACAGTAAATAGAATTAAAAATGAAATAAACCTTTTATGCATATTAATATACTATTCAAAAAAAGTAGGGGATATTTGATTTTGGGGGCATAATACTAAAATATGCAAATGACTACGAAAAAAGTCACTATAGAACCTAACAGAAGAAACATTTCCAGTTACATGTGACGCCCAAACGCACCAATAGCTACCGCATGGAATGCAGGTGATGCTTGGGGTCATCATGGGGTCCAACCCAAGATTTGCACGACTCTGACTTTGAATGTTACAGTCATTGTGGCATTGAATTCCAGGGTGGAAACATCAGTTTAATTGTTTTAGTGACCAGAAAACAAATTTTGATATGCGTCGGCTTACCCAAAATGAAAGGTTACGTGCCCTTGGCATGCTACAGATCGGCACAACACAGGCGGTTGTGGCGCGGACGATGAATGTTTCTCAGTCTGTCATAAGCAGGCTATGGTCCAGATACCGTGATACACAATCTGTACAGGACAGACCACGCTCAGGTCGACCAAGGGCGACAACTCAAGCCCAGGATCGATTTATCCGTACCTTGGCCTTGAGAAATCGTGTCATCACAGCAAATCAGATCAGCGCTCGTCTTCAAACAGACACTGGTGTGAGAGTGAGTGGCCAGACGATTCGGAATCGACTGCATAGGGGTCACCTTCGCGCCCGACGTCCTCGCGTGATCCCTTGTTTGAGAGATCATCACATTCAGGCAAGACGTCGTTGGTGTAGGGATCGTCAACACTGGGATAATCGACGCTGAAGCAATGTGATGTTTTCAGATGAGTCAAGGTTCACTGTTGATTTTTTGGACAGACGTAGGAGGGTGTGGCGTCGTCGAAACGAGCGCTTCCAAGACGTTAACGTCATCAGACATGATCGATTTGGGGGTGGTTCTGTTATGGTGTGGGGAGGCATCACTGTTGCTGGAAGAACGGCTTTACATGTTGTTGCAGGGCGTGTTACAGGCCAGTACTACCGGGACAACATCTTGGCAGTCCATGTTGTGCCGTTCACACGACGTCATGGCCGCCGTTTCATCTTCCAGGATGACAACGCAAGATGTCACAGGGCCAGGATCGTTACAAGTACCTCCAACAACAGAACATCACCACATTACCTTGGCCAGCACTGAGTCCCGACCTCTCCCCCATCGAGCATGTCTGGGACATGCTTGGACAGAGGTTACGTCAACGTCAACAACGTCCTGCCAATGTTCAAGAACTTGCTGCTGCGTTGCAACAGGAATGGGACAATCTGGACCAAAATGACCTTAGACGTCTCATTAGGAGTATGCCACGTCGGATCAATGCTTGTTTGGCAAACAGAGGAGGATTTACCCGTTACTGACTTGGTTGTGATGCTGTGGTAACTTTGCTGTTTGACCCCGGGTATCATTTTACCCTTATAATGGTCAATCTGTGCCTTACTTAGTCTAACGATCATTTGGAATAAATCGATGAATGTGAACTTCATTTCATTTTGTCATTTGTTTCTTCGTCAGTTTCATTAGGTGACTTTAATAACACTTAAAAATCAAATATCCCCTACTTTTTTTGAATAGTATATATTTAAAATACAAAAATGAAATGATAAATATACAATTAAAATTTATGATAAAAACATGTCTCTTTTAAAAAGTCTAGTAGGTTACAATATAAACCCGGTCGGGCAAATAGATGACATAGAGACTGGCAACGGTAATATTTCGATCTTATGTTCCTGAGATGATTGCACTCAATCAAAATGTGCTTCACAGTCAAAGGACCATGACAGTGAACACATTCCGATTGAGGCTCTCGCTTCAAAATGAAAATATGAGTTAAAAAGGTATGACCAATGCGAGAGCGACACAAAACAACTTCATCCCTCCTGTTGGTTCTATAGGAGTTGGGCCAGTCTCCTAAGAGAGGCTTAATGTGATGAAGTTTATTTGTGCCTGCAAGAGCCCAAGACCGTTGCCAGCGGCCATAAATGAAATGATTAATGCAAGATTTAAAATCTGTGTATGGAATTAAAAAATAGGATAAGGGAAGATCTAAGGCAGACTTGGCAGCCAAATCTGCTTGATCGTTCCCTTTTATATCCATGTGACTGGGGAGCCAGCAAAGGACAATGTCCTTGCTGCTCAACTCGTGTGATAGTAGCAGATGGTAAATATCTGCTACTAATGGGTGATCAAGCTGTTTGTTATTTATTGCTTGTAATGATGACAAAGAATCAGTAAAAATAATATATTTTAAATTGGATGATGATTGAATGAACTCTAAAGCCTGAAGAATGGCCTGGAGTTCAGCTGTAAAAATGGAAGCAGCAGGTGGAAGGCGAACAGAAATGGTTTCAGATGGTGTCACGGTAGCCGAAGCTACCCGATCATCATCTTTCGAACCGTCTGTATATATTGGAGCATAATCACCATATTTAGACCTTAGCTCTCGAAAGAGAGACTGAAAAACCGTCGAGCTAGTATCTCTCTTCTTATGTGGAGTAAGATCAAAATCGATCTTTGGGGGAGATATAGCCCACGGTGGAGTCCTAAAGAAAGGGGTATTCGCAATACTGTCAAGGCTGATACCAGCCTCCAACAAAAGGGGTTGTATGCGAATACCGAATGGTGAATAACTTTTGTCTTGAGCAGATATAAATGCTAAGGATAGGGTCGAAATATGGTGTTAATTGAAATATGGTTTGGTAAAGATGCTATTTTCGTAGCATACTGCAGGGCCAGTTTATCACGTCTGTTGTTTAGTGAGGGCTCGTGCGCCTCGACGTATAAACTGTCCACTGGAGATGTACGAAATGCTCCTAAACTGATTCTAAGTCCCTGGTTGTGTATGGTGTCGAGCTCTTTGAGATAAGACTCGCGGGCAGACCCATACACAATACACCCATAATCGAGTTTTGATCTTACTAATGCTCGATATAATCTGAGCAAGACCTTACGGTCTGCTCCCCAGTCAGTATTTGATAACACCCTCAATATGTTGAGGGCTTTCAGACATTTCTTTTTGAGGCTTTTAATGTGGGGGATAAAAGATAATTTCTTATAAAATATCAGCCCCAGAAATTTGGTTTCATCCACAACTGGAAGGCGATTGCCATCCAAGAACAGTTCTGGATCTGGATGTAAACCTCGTTTCTGACAGAAATGCATGCAGACAGTCTTGGATTTCGAAAAACGAAATCCATTTTTGGTTGCCCATTGTTGAAGTGAATTCAAACAAAGCTGCAACTTACGTTCGATTATCCGCATGTCTGTAGAACCATAGCACATCTAAAAGTCATCAACATAAAGAGCGCCGTTTGTACCTGGTTTAAGGCACGCTGGAATCGTGTTAATTTTTATAGCAAAAAGAGTAGGAGATAAAATACTTCCCTGTGGAACCCCCATTTCCTGAGGAAATGGGTCAGAGAATATTGATCCCAGTCGTACCTTAAATAACCTATCTTCCAGGAAATTTTTAATGAAGATAGGTAAGCGACCTCTTAGGCCGAGGTTATGGAGGTCGCGCATGATACCATGTTTCTATGTAGTATCATATGCTTTCTCCAGATCAAAAAATATTGCAACTAAATGTTGCTTCTGGATGAAAGCGTCCCTGAAGAACGTTTCAAATCGAACGAGATGATCAAGAGTGCTCCTTTGGGACCGAAATCCACATTGGAGGTCTGTAATAAGGTTGTTGGACTCAAGGTACCAAACAAGCCTTCGATTGACCAATCTCTCCATGGGTTTGCAAATACAGCTTGTTAAAGCGATCGGGCGATAGTTGGTAGGATTCGTATGATCTTTACCGGGTTTAGGGATGGGAATTATTGTGGCTTCATGCCACGAAGGGGGGAATTTCCCATCAACCCAAATTCGATTAAAAAGATCTAGTAAAATTAAGAGAGTGGAAAAAGGTAAATGTTTTAGAATTTGGTAGTGTATTTCATCTGGACCAGTTGCAGTATCCCGAGCTCGCTTTAGCGAATCCCGGAGCTCTGCAATGGAAAAGGTATCATTGTAGCATTCATCATTGCGGGACTTGAAATTAAGTCGCCTTTTCTCCTGATGAGCTTTAATGCCTCGAAAGGCATCAGAGGAGAAATTGGATGATGAATTAAATGAAATTGTTCTGGCCAGAGAATTAGCAATATCAGGAAATGTTGTTAAGGTGGTACTATCAACATTTAGATGGTTAACTGATAATGCACTACTTTTACCTTTAATCCTACGAATCCTATCCCATACCGACTTCGATGTGGTACGGGAATTGATCCTTGAGACGTAACCTTGCCATGAAGAATTCTTTGCTTGACGTATGGTTCTACGAGCTTTCGCCCGGACCATTTGGTATGCCGCAATATCTGAATTGATGGAGTCCTAGGGGTTTTTTTTGTCGCAAAATGAACAACAGGATGAGTGACAAGTGGGGCCGAGTTTGCGCCCTCGCCTGTCAAACATTTACGGAGAAGAGAAGATTCGCGATTACCTGGCCTTAAAAACCAATCCTTTATTATTTCCTTCACGGAAGTTGAAACCGAAAGTAAACCAAGTCGACATTGAAAGGTCAAACTATTAACGATGCAGCGGACAAGTAATGCTACTGTGTTAGGGAACCTAGAAGAAGGAGATATTGTCGAGTTTGATCGAGGACTTTATTCACATTATGGTGTCTATGTGGGTAAGAATTATATTAGTTTTGTATATGAAACAAGCAGGACCCAGTTAAGCTGAAGTAGGTCGTCGCCATTTTAAAATGATCTGAAATAGGGTTTAAGGTCCAACTGGGCTAATGAAGACGTTCGTGCGTTATGCAGTGTGCTATCTGGGACATTTTGCCCGGAAAGCGAGGCTACGGCCTACTCTTATTATATAGAATTCCAACTGAAAAGGGATCTTTTACTTGCAAGCCAATGTGTACACGGGACTTGTTTTTCTTCCCACCAGGCTGTATTTCCTGCACCACTGACAATGTGTGACCACGCCGGAAAATCCCTATGAATTTTATGGGCCAGTACCTTGATCGAACAGGAGAACCCTAGGTTAGGGTTAAATAACACACAGGTACATGGGGAACAGGAACCACTTTATAGTTCGACTATGTCATTAATGATTTTCTGTCCAGGAATTTTTAAAAAAAAATAAACAAATCGCAAGTGACTTCTAGCAAACACACGGCTTTTGTATTGTTTTAAAAAATTGAAATTCTTGTTACGCGTCTGAGTCTCTAGGACCGAAACGTCGACACAATTCGTTGTTATTCTTTTTACAAAATATTTAGAATGACTTCTGAATTTGTCTACAAATTACGCCATTCTCTCAGAAGAAGCAATTTGACAGAAATTTTCAATAAATTCCTATTTCAATATCTATTTTGAGAGTATTATAGTGAGAACTGTCACATATTTATCTAAATCTTACATAATACATCTTTAAAATAGATAGATTACATATTTTCAGGTGACGAGGAAATTGTTCATGTAGCCGGTGATGGCTCCAATGCTGGTAGCCCAACAGACTGGAGTTCTGGTAGTCTGTCTAGTGGTAGTGGAATACAATCCAACAAAGCCACGGTGAAGAGAGACAAGTTTTGGACCGTGGCCGGCAACTCTAAAGCCAAGATAAGTAATAAAGATGACAAAAGAAGGTATGAAGATTATACAGGAGCGGATATTTAAAAAAGCGGTTTGCAAATAATGTACAAAGTGTACTGAAAGTGCAAACAGTTTGTGAAAAAAAACCCAGTTAGGACAGTTATGAGGAGGAGGGGGGGGGGGGGGGTAGTCTTTAGCAATGGGAGAAAACCGACGAGGTTGGGCAAGTGTTCCTACTCCTTATCACGTACACGCTGAAAAGATCGAAACCACGCCACTTGACTCAGTGATAGACCTAATAATAGCGCATGTGTTAGACCACTCCATCACATTACAATAATGATAATATCAAAAAATGTATATTGCGCTCTAATCCACGCCACATAGGAACATGCTATAACTACCGCCACACTTCGAACAGACATCAAATAACACAACACATTTACACATTAAATAATAATCCTAATATCTCTGAAACTGAATTCTGCTCAAGTTTGATTTGAATGGAGTTAAGGGTTGTTGTATTTTAAGATGAAGAGGTAAAGTATTCCATAAAGATGCTGCATTTTATTGTATATATCAAATTGTTTACAGCCCTTTACCGAAACATCAAATAGTGAAGATTGCGTTATCTAAATTAGGTCGTCGTGGTTACAACCTTTTCTGGAGTAACTGTGAACATTTCGCTAATTGGTGTCGATATGAAGTACAGACAAGTGAACAGGTAAGAACTCAAATACAAAAGTTTTTAATGTCTCATCCAGACAATCCCTTGGTCTGTTTGAGATTAATGTGTCGTTGGTATGGGCCGAAAAGTGAACAAGTAAGGTCTTGAATAGAATGGGTGTATCACCCAGACAATAATTTATTCTTTTTGAGATTAACATTTGGTAAAAAAGATCTAATCCTTCGGATGGCAGGAAAATCCAAGGCCCACCCATGTACTTGTTGGCGTGCACGTCAAAGAGTCACTGACAGTTGGAATTCAACAAGCATATGTTATCGCTATATATGGTTACGTGTACAATTTATGGTAAGAACATTTTGCACAGACAGCTGCGTTTTCAACTCATCGATTTTTAACTTTCAAGAGTTCTTTAACGTGCACACCAATGTGTTTACTCGTGGACTTCATCAAAATAAGTGATGTACCTACTCTTTATAGAATTCCGACTGTAAAGAGATCTTTTACATGCCATCGAGTACGCTGTGAGCTCTGTTTTCCGTCCCATCCGAACAACTAGACATGTTTCCTTGCCAGGCCCTACATCTTGCACCACTGATAAATGAAAACAAGACAGGAACTATCTTAACCAACACCGGGGTCGAACCATACTGTTCTTATTTCAATTTCAATTTCCATGGTTTATGTTTTACAGGTTTGTAACGCTTTTTCAAGTATGGGACAGGTAGTGCTAATTGGGGTCGTAGTGGCAATTGTGGCCATTGCAGCAGTGTGTCTGATATCTTGGTAAGAAAAAGCTCAAAAACAATAGTTGTGAAGATTACAAGATTGGGAGTGAAATTAAATTGAAAACGTTTTAGATAATATTAGCTTACGCATAAAACTGACTTTAGAGCCATAGAATTCCTTGCTAACTACAATATTATGAAAATGGAATCTCTAATAGTAATATCAGGCAAATATCAGTTCGACAATAGTTGAATTCTGTTTAGTATTTTCAAAGATATAACAATTTGAAAATTACATCAAAATACACATTTATACTGATATCACTATGTAATAAACAAGACGCCATCTTTATCTGCCGGGAACCTAATTGATGAACATATTTTAAGAATCTGATTGAATCGAAGCCGTGAGATTATCTAGTGTTGGTACTCTTATTTTGGAGAATTTAGAGGACTGTTATTGGACAATAACAGTGGGTGTTTATCGATATTGTAGCCCAAAATATTTAACATTTTTCTTGGAATTCTTTCTTTCCCCATAGCTTACGGAAAAACCAAAGTAAACAATTTTTACGTAATGAAGCATCCGTGACGTAATAAGATAATAGAACAGGTGTTTTAGAGGACTGTTATTGGACAATAACAGTGGGTGTTTATCGATATTGTAGCCCAAAATATTTAACATTTTTCTTGGAATTCTTTCTTTCCCCATAGCTAACGGTCGTTTTTTGGTTTTAATGAAGCAAAAACCAAAGTAAACAATTTTTACGTAATGAAACATCCGTGACGTAATAAGATAATAGAATAGGGGTCCAGGGCGGGGGGAGGGGGTGTCAGCCTAGCTGAAACGTGTACCAATTTTCACCAATATGGTATAAATGCATGCATATCTGGTATCATCAGAATGTAAGTCTGTCGGATATCTGGTGGCGGGTGTGGATGTGAGGGTTGTGATTCTGGACATGAATTCTTGAGTTAGATTAGCTCAAAAATGTACGACATAAAAATGGTACAGCTGTGTACCTTACATCTTCAAGTATTACAAAAACACCCTGACAGACATTTCTAGTCTACAATTCTGGGTCTACTGTTAAAGAATTAGAACACAAACTTCAACTTGATACCAATATAGTATTAGCCTGGTGTGATAAAAACCATATGAGATTAAATATATCGAAAACCAAAATTTTGCTAATCGCGACGCAACAAAGACGAAATATCCAGTATACGCTTTAAGGGGCCCAAACTCTGGAATTCGTAGCCGGCCTCCTTAAAAACTTCAAATAACTTGAATCTTTTCAGGAAAAAACTTCTTCTTTACATGAAATCTACTTCAAATATCTTATCTTAAAAATTCATAAGCTTATCTCTTATGATATGTGTTCTGTGTATCTCTATATTATAAGCATGTACATATTGTATATTTGTTAATACATGTTATATCTATATGAAATCAAACGTTCTGTTTTATGAACTAGCATATACATGTACTTTCTTTTAACTGATTTGTATATTTATATTTTTCCTCTATTGTAATTTATTGTGGTGTGTTGTTTAATTTATTAGCTATATCTTTTGTAATATATTTTCTACGAAGGGCAGGATGTTAGAAAGACTATTATGGCCTAATCTTCAACCCTTCTTAAATAAAGTTATTATTATTATTTATTATGTATTATTTTTATTATTATTATACTGTTCTTATTTCAATTTTCACGTTTTATTTTTTACAGGCTGTGGTAACAAGCGTGGCGATAAGCGTAGGCTGCTTTTTAATGTTGCATCTGTTTAGCTAAGTAAGAAAAAGCTGTAAAGATTATAAATTTGCGAGTGAAATTGAATTTAAAAAAATTGTTGACAATTGACATATGAAAGTTTATTGTTTTTGTTAAAGGCATTAAGCTTTCTTTTAAGATTAATATTATTATTATTATTTTTTTGTTATTTTTCCACAAATCTTATATCTCAGACACTACTGATGCGTACACAAAATATAAAGTTTGAAACGTGAAAAATCCCTTAGGCTTTTACATTATTTTACTTACAGACACGGAGTTACATTTTCAGAATCCTTCAAGGAATGTCTAAAAAAAAGTATCGGAGCAGAAGTTTGATTTCGGTCAACCGATGGTCACCATTTTGAATTGAATATATGAAGAATAGTGAAAAATTCACGTCAATGGGCGTAAAAATATCACAATAGGCTGTAGTTTGGAAAATTTGGTGTCCTTTTTCCGAAATGAATACCTTTCTAGATAACGTGGCTCAGAATCGAAATTCTGCTGTTTGAAAATTTCAAAATTTCAAATTTCCACTTCGACGTTTTTCGTGGCGACAAAGTTGTTTACGAGTGAAAATTCATAATAACGGCATGGACATAATCGGAAAAGGCCCCCGTTTCCGGAACTAATACATTTCTGGATAGAAGTTTTGGTACATGAAGATTTAAAATTTTCAAATTTCGTCTCTGAAGTTTTTCATATCGACAAACTTTGAAATCAGGTCAAATGTTGACGACAAAGGATTAAGTAGGTCATTTGGTGCTTTATCAAAGTTTTATCAAAATCTGTTGGTAACCAAAGGTTCTCTGCACCTGTCAAAATGTTAAAACTGGAAATTTTGCCCGGTTAAAATATTTCTCTTTATAACTCAAAGCGACTTTTTGACGGATTTTAATATTTCTTTTTCTTTTTAAGATTCTTGGCGAAATCCATGACTTGTGACTATGAATATGAAAGCTTTCATATCTGCCTAGCAGATCGAATTCATCTTTATGTTTATATATAAAAGATTTATATTTTTATCTTGTACATACGCATAAGACTGACTTTAGAGCCATAGAATTCCTTGCAAATACAATATTATAAAAATGGAATCTCTAATAGTAATATCAGGCAAATATCAGTTCGAATATAGTTGAATATCAGTTCAGTATTTACAGATATAACAAATTAAATTTACATCAAAATACAAATTTAAACTGATATCACTATGTAATAAGGTAGTCACCATCTTCATCTGGTAGGAACCAAATGGATGATCCTGTTTTAAGAATCTGATTTAATCCAAGCCATAATATTATCTAACATTGGTATTTTAATTTTGTTTTCTTAATCAAATGTTAAATCATTAATCTTTTTTATGAGGACAAGAAGTGTAAATATCAATCTCAACTAAATCATCTTTAATCTTATTTTTGTCAGATTTAGGAATTAAAAATATAAAGGAAGCTAACCTGCCTTCTTTGAACTGATAAAACATGGTGTTTATTTATATTGATAATTGTTTCTTGATCAAATGTTTTTGTGGTAGTTGTTCAACATTCCTTTGATTCTTGTGTTAAACAAGTGTTGAGTTTATATGATGTATTATTTAGATTAGTTTAGTTTAAAACCACTGATCATGATTTTAGAGCCGTCGAGTGCCTTGCAAACTACAATATTATGGAAGTGTAATCTATAATAGTAATATCAGTCCAGTAATAGTTCGTATTTGTATTTACAAAGTTATGTTAATTTGAAATTTCATTGATCTATGTTGCTCGTTATAAGACTGTCGCTATTGTTGTCTACTATTATTATATTGATTATCGTTTTATTATATCAACGTATATTAACATTATAACGTCCATTTATTTAGATTTCTAACCTAATAAAATCATTGTTTTATTATATCAACATATATTAAAATTATAGCGTCCATTTATTTAGATTTCTAACATAATAAAATCATTGTTTTAAAAAGAAATTAAATTGTTTAATAATTCTTTGTTTTATTTTGGACTGAGTTAAACTTTATTTATCAATATACGATAATCACTGATATGGATTCGAGAAAAGCTTTAAACCGTCTACAGTGAAATATTTATATATATATATTTTCGTCTATTTTAAAGTTCCAAAGAAAGGAGCCACACGCCCTTTAACGATAGAAAGAATTACCTCAAAACTCAGAGAATTGTATATTGATGAAACTTTTAACTCCACTTTAGTCCTATATCGTGTGTGTGTGTGTGTGTGTGTGGGGGGGGGGGGGGGTGGCATCAGTGTAGTCCTCAATAGGTTCTTGAGTAGTTTGTTAGGGGTGAGGTGGTTGGGGATAGGGGGTTGAGTGTGGGGTGGGGGGACCTGGACAGACAGCCGACCCTACGTCTTCATCTTACCTTACCACTCTAATTGGTGGCTCGGGTCTGTTTCGTATTTTTCATAGATGACTGTCCTGCGAATGATATAGCCATTCGACACAGAGAACTTATTACTCGGAGAAATAGATCTTTGCCCTGAATGGCCGACATATTCAAATTTAGTATACCATATTGCAATGTGGTTTTAATCCGTTTCACATCCGTCATAAACAAAGACTAAAAAAAAAACATTTTCGATTTTATTTTATGGAAGAAGGATAAATACTTCTCAATATTAGTGGGTTCGGCTAAAGTCGATTAATGTCGGTTAATTATCTTCGTGAGAGGCACGGGAAGGTCCCTTTAGCAGGCCCTTTAGTAGTTTGTGAGTGTATAGGGGTGGTGGAGGGGGAAGAGGCACAGCAAGGTCCCCTGATAATGTTCTGCAGTAGTTTAGGAGTCAATGGGAATGGGTGTGTGTGTGTGTGTGCGTAAGTATGGCTGCGAGGATGCGAGGATGCGGGGGGGAGGGGGGGTCATCACAATTCAGAAGGATATGCAGTTGTCCCTACATCTTAACACTTTACATTGGTGGCGCGAGTCTCTCTGTTTTGGTTTGGGTAGATGACTGTCCTATAATCTGACAATACAATAGCCACACAGAAAACCAATTCAGTCATCACAAAGACTCTACAGCCAGTGCCGAGGGTCATTAAAATAAACTCGTCAATAATATATGATGTATCAACAAGTAAAGAGGCCCAAAGATTTATAAAAGAGATCTTTTTACGTACAACGAGATTGTTTCGAATTGGCAAAGGAATCGCTTTCAAAAAGATTCAAGAGGAATGAATCTTCAGCTAACATGCTGATGCCTTTGTCTGCAAACAATCCACAAATGATGGAATTAACGATGAGATCCTTTTGCGTTTGTATGGTGGAGGAACAATTGAAACACTAGAAAGCTTGTGAATGAGCAAGTTTAGTAAAACTGTATTGAAAATCTTACCTGTGTCCAGATTCAGAACTTGTCGCCGATTCCAGATGTTGCAAAGCATCATGGGTTCCGTATGCAGTTGTGAATGGAGAGGGGTGGTGAATCAAGACCAGAAAAGTAAGTGCGGATGGAGACTTGCGAAAAACAAATTAGAGGCCAGAACAACTGACCCCGTACCAGCTCCAGAGACACTCCTCAAAAGCATCAGTTGTGGCTGGAAAGAAGAATGTGACAGAGCAAAGTGCACCAGCCAGCGACACAGTTTAGAGTATACTGTCAGACAGCGAATGTAAGGGTTTCAGGTGTTCTGCAGGAGCAAGAAGAGTTCGAACTTGAATCAGGTAAACACACATATTTGGAACAAGTGATAGACTGTTAAGGCTTTACAAGAAATGGAACAATTCAGGACTGCACCTTAATTTAATATTCAATTTCTATCGGTTAGCTCAGTCACGTCTTTGAAAAGTGTATGCTGACATGATCATGTAACGTCAAAATAAGACGTGATGACGTCATTGGGTTCATTTTAAACATTCTCGACTAGCAGGGATCACGTTTCTATCTGTAATGGCGAGAACTCAATATTAAATAACAATAATAACAATAATATATCTAAATTTATGTTCGCGAAACAATACTAATTAAAGTTTATATTGCGCATAGCAAATTTTTCTTGGAAAGCAGAGTCTTTATCTGTTGTTTAAACACATGCAGTGATGATATTATTCGAATATAGTGGGGGAGGGTGTTCCAAATGTAGGGTGCTGCAAACCAAAATGACCGTTTTGTTGTTTCCAGATGTATCGGCGGTATTGGCAGTAGGTTTTTTGTTTGACGACCTCAATATCCATATATCTGGTGATGAACCACTGAGAGCTTTGAAATTAAGCAGGAGTATATTGAACACAATTATCTGCTTAATGGGGATCCAATGGAGTTGTTTCAAGATTGGTTTTATGTGTTGGTACTGTACTGTATCTGATTGATTTGATATTCTGGTATATTGTATAGAAATGCATTGTGATAATCTAGTTTATTGGTGATGAACGAATCAATAAGAAGTTCCATAGTATCTGTGGGGAGATATTTCTTGATTCAGCTTAGTCGAGTTGATAAAAGGAACCCAAAAGTACATTATCATCTGGTCTACCCCAGAGAAATCTCCCGTAATTATATACAGGAGGGAGAGTTGAGCAACAAGGTCATCAAGATCTCTGGGGTTCAGATGCAAACTTGGTGGCAGATATAGAGAGCAAAGTGTTATAGGAATATGTAGTTACCCTAACCGCAACCGCCTGTAAAGGCGAGTTGAGGGTGACTTTAATTTACGGAACATTCCATTCAGGAAAATGGAAACACCACCGTGTGTTCTACCCTCATTATTATCAAACTGATGATAGGCAACACATTTCTGAGCTTTAAGACATCTGGTTTCTTAAAAATAAAACCGTTTCTTGTTAACATATAGCTAAGGGATTATATCTTTGAATTAAGATTTAACCTTTATCACAATTTGGTTTAAGACCTCGACAATTAGCCGATTTCAGGGAGGCTTAATAAGACTTCCATTAGATTGCCCCGCATCCCGAACCTGTAAAAGGTTCTGACGGGATCCTCGTCGCCCTTCCTACTTTAGAAGGTAGTTAATTTAGAATTTTAAGGAACGCTTTTACCAGAACATTCCTTGCTTTTATCTATTTTGGGTGGCTTTCCACCAATAGATTGATGAGTAGGGGAAACAATATCCTCTATCTCAGACTCCCCAGACTTATTAACAGTCTGACTGCTGAGAATCGTATTGATAGGTATAGGTGGAATCGTTTTTTATTGTTGTGACGAGGTATCGTCTGTCTCAGCTGGAAATTCAACAGGTGTTTGACAAGCAATGGATTTGTCTTGGGTCACCAGAAAACGGGGTGACAAAAGAAGTGAGTCCTCTATGTCGACTGTCCTCTGTTGAGAGTTTGGATGTACTGAGGGAAAACCATTTCGTTCAACAAGAATGCTTCGCCATTAATATATTTTCAAATTACAAAATTTCAAATGAATAAATGAAGGAATAACTTGATAGATAGAACCTAATACTCGGACTAGCCAGATAGTTGATTTGTAAAATTTATTTTATTTGCAATGATAAGGTGAATGTAAGTCGTGTAAACAAAAATTGGTGGGCTTTTCCAAATAGACAAAATGTATCGCCAATCAACTTATATAATATGTAGATAATAACAAGTTAACAGAACCCACGCAAAGTGTTTCCAAGAGATTTCGTAGTGTGGAAACAGTATTAACTAAGGTTCATCATGATATATTGTTATCTTTGGACAATCAACGCAGTTTATTTCTTATTTTGTTAAATTTATCAGCTGTATTTGATACAGTTGACCACCCAATTCTTATTGGTCATTTAAGTATTGGTTTTGGTAAAGATGGTTTAGCATTAAAGCTCATAACAAGTTATTTAACTGGTCGATAACAAAGAATTAATTAATGATACATTTTCTAATAACAGCGACAGTTTATAAGGAGTACCCCAGGGTTATGTTTTTGGACCCATTCTCCGCTCGGTGAATAAGGTTTGGACCATGGCTTAGAATATCAACTGTATGCAGATGATACACAAATTTATATTGCTTTTAAACCATCTATTACAAATGATTTTAATCCCCCCCCCCCAAAAAAAAAAAAAAAAAAAAAAAACGAAAAAAAATGGGAACTTGTATAACTGACATTAAAATTCATATCTGCTAATTTTTTAAAAAAAATAATCAGTGATAAGACTGAACATATTCTTCTAACTTCTAACATCAAATAATAATCTAATTAGCAAAATATCTGATTGTAGATCTATATCTATAGCTTAGTCTGTTATTTTACCTGTAAACTCTGCAAGAAATATTGGTGTTATTTTGGACAAAACTGTGAAAACGGCTATTTTCATATTTACAATATAAGTAAAATTAGAAAATACGTTTCACAAGATTCAACTAAAACACTGGTTCATGCTTTTATAAATTGCTGGCCAGTCGTCCTGTAAAACACATTGATAGCCTTCAAAAAGTTCAAAATTGTGTTGCCAGAGTGATAACCCGTCCCCACCCCACCTCCCGAAAACCAAAACGATCACAAAACCCTAATTTTGACGTTTTTACACTGGTTACCCATTAATCACTGCATTAAGTTTTAACTACTTTTAATGACATTTCACGCATGCGCCCCTACTCCTTGTCATGTACAACTGGGAAATCGAAACCATGCCAGCTGACTCAATGACAGACCTTATGATACGTGGGGGATCACGTGGGTAAGTGGGTAAGACGCTGGCTCGCTAGCCTGGAGGTCGAGTGTTCGATCCCTGCATTGGCCCAGAAAGTTCATCCAGATTTTCCGGCGTGGTTTCCCCTTGTCAGAGATGCAGGACGGAGGGCCTGACAAGGACAGCTGTCTAGTCGTTCGGATGGGACGAAAAACCGAGGTACCGTGTACATATTGACGTGCACGTAAAAGATCCCTTGGCAGTTGGAATTCGATATAAGAGTAGGCCGTAGCGCCCCTGCCCGAGCAAAATTTCCCTC